TGGAAGGCTGAGTCAACCCTGAGCCGGTGAGATTTGAACCGCTGAACTGCTGATCTAGCAGTAGCCTGCAGTGCTGCATTTAACCACTGCGCCATAGGCCACTTTTCCCCCCAGTGCCGTTGTAACTTTCAATGGTCACAAAATGAACTGTTGTAAATCAAAGGAACTCCTGTAGTGGTATTGGGTTGGCCCAGTGGGGGTTCCGGATCCTGTTGCAACTGGTACGCTGCAACAGGGCCGGGCGTCCACTATGAGCATGTGCGTGCATGCGTACTTACCGTCCGTGATGCTCCAGCTGCTCGAAGGAGCGTCACGCATGCACTGTACGCTCCTTGCGCGAAAGCCCCGATTGGCTCAAATACAGGTAAGGAGGACGGGCGGGAAGGCGGGTGGGCCCTCTGGAGCACCGTACCAGAACGGTACCTGGGATACCTCATGCTGGAATGATACCTGGGATACCTCGTAACCCCCAAAATTGGGTTGACCGCAGTCAAATGGTATAATTTATGTCTATAGAGATTCTCAGTCATCCAGGTCAGTGGTGGGATTCAATTTTTTTTTACTACCAGTTCTGTGGGTATGGCTTGGTGGCCGTGGCCAGGCAGAGCAAGGTTACTGCAAAATCCCCATTCCCTCCTGATCAGCTGGGACTCGGGAGGCAGAGAATAGATGGGGGCACGGCCAGTCAGAGGCGGTATTTACTGGTTCTCCGAACTACTCAAAATTTCTGCTACCGGTTCTCCAGAACTGGCCAGAACCTGCTGAATACCACCTATGCATGCCCACACCCATAATGCAATGCCCTCCCCCTTCGCATGCACGCACAACCCTCCCCGTGTCGTCGTCCCCCGTCCCCCCCGGACATGTGCATAGGCCTCACTGAAGCCTCTGGATTTCTGGTAGGCCCATTGGGCCTGTTTTTCGCCATTCACAGGTTCTTTCTTGAAGCCTGGGGCGGGCAAAAACATCCTCTCCCGCTCTCTGGCAGCCCAAAAATCAGCTGGCCAGTCAGTGCACAAGGAGCTGACATAGGGCAATGCCTCACGTGCCCTCAGATATGGCTCCATGTTCCCCCTGTGGCACACATGCCATAAGTTCGCCATCACATGTATAGGATTTCGGTTCACTGACAAAAGGGCGAACGACAAAACCGCGCCTGACTAAACCGCGGTGACAAAACCATGCTTTCTAAAGCGCTCCAACGAATGAGGGCTGAATCGTGCCAACAACAGCGCAGCGACAGAAGCGTGCTGTAAAACTAAACCTAACCCTAACTCTAAACCTAACCCTAAATGTAACGCTAACCCTAACGCTAAACCTAAACCTAACCCTAAATCTAACCTTAAACCTAACCCTAAACCTCACCCTTACCTTAAGTTAAATCGGCTTTGTGTCAATGCGCTGTTGTAAAGCGCCCTTCTGTCTCTGCGCTGTTGTTGCCGCGCTGTTGTTGGCGCGTTGATGACGTCGCGGTTTTAGCGACGTGGTTTTGTCGGCACGCTTTTGTCGGGTCACGCAGGATTTCCTGCTAAATGGGGTGGGACTAGAAGACCTTCAAGGTCCCTTCCAGCTGCTTTCTGATCGGTTGATATTTCATGGATGTAGCCTCTCAAATAGTTTGGAATGTGGTTTTCTTGTGAATTGAACCTTTGCCTTAAAAGGGGAGGCGTCCCATGTCAATAAAAATGAGGTTGGAATCCAGTCAAGATGTTAAGCCTGTTGGTTCTTTCACATGTTTGAGTCCTTTCTCTGGACATTCAGCCTAGTTCATCATAGTCACAAAGATAATATCAGTAAAGCAGTTTAGGTAATAAAAGCCAGCTCCATTAACCACAGCAGCGGTAGCAGTAAATCTGTCAACAGCCTTCTAATAAATGTCTATCTGTCTAAATAATATTGTTTGATCTGTTGGGTTGGTCCTTCGGTTGCCTCCGAATAGGTGATTCATCTTTTCAAATCAATTTGTCTACCTGTTTCTTTGCTGCAAGAACAATTTAGGGATTATGTTAATAAAGTTTCTCTTAGTGTGCAAACACATTTTTTTCCGAAGGAGATGTCTATCCCAGATATAAGGCAATTGATTCTTTTTGAAAAGTTCATTATCAACCTTTGAATTGCGTAGGTTTGTTGTTGTTGTTGTTGTTGTTTAAGGGCAATAAACTGGCAAGGAATAATATGATTGAGGAATGCAATCATATTATTCGATTTAAAACCGCAATTGAGCCCAAAATTTCTATTGCTAAACTAGATATTTGCTAAGTGCATTTTGCCCCATTTTACAGCCTTTCTCGCCATCGTTCTTAAGTGAATCACCGCAGTTAAGTTAGTAGCTTGGTTGTTAAGTGAATCTGGCTTCCCCATTGACTTTGCTTGTCACAAAAGTGGATCATATGACCCCCCCCCAAGACACTGCAACGGTCGTAAATATGAGTTGATTGCCAAGTGTCTGAAGTTTGATCATTGGGATGCTGTAACAGTCATAAGTATGAAAAACGGCCATAAGCCACTTTTTTTTTTCAGTGCTGTTGTAACTTCTCTGTTTTTGTGCCTCTTCTCCCTTTGTTCTCTCTGCTCCTGAGCAATTCTGGAGCAACACAGCCACTTAAGAAATTATAGCGATGTCTGTATTTACATTTTTCTTCTGCGTCTGTCTGCCTGCTTTCCTTGAGCTGGAAGAAGCGTGGTATGGTTTAGTGGGGAGGGGGGGGGGAGAGTATGTGTGTCAAAGGGCCCCGTTCATTTGTCTGTGACAGTGCAAAGTATTTTTAGTAAAGTATTTATAAGAGCAGCCTGCCTTTTAAAATTCTCTTTCTTTACAAATTTAATTGAAGGGCTGGCCAGGACAAAAATAAGTTGAAGAGGGGAGGGGAGAGGAGGGTAAAGGGAAGGGAAGGGAAAGGAAAGGAAGGGGAAGGGAAGGGAAGGGAAGGAGGGAGGGAGGGAGGAAAAAAGGGGAAGGGGAAGGAAGGGAGGGATAAAAAGGGAAGGGAAGGAAGGAAAGGAGGAAAAAGGGGAGAGGAAGGAAGGGGAGGGAGGGATGAAAAAAGGAGAAGGAAGGGAAGGATGGAAAAGGGAAGAGGAAAAAGGAAGGGAAGGAGAAGAAGGATTAAAAAGGGAAGGGGGAGGGAGGGAGGAAGGGAAGGGTGGGAGGAAAAAGCGGGAAGGAAAGGATGAAAAAGAGAAGGGGGAAGGGAGGGATTTAAAAAAAGGGAAGGGGAAGGAGGAAAAAAGGGAAGGGGGAGGGAGGAAAGGATGAAGAAAGGGAAGGGGGAAGCAAGGAAAAAGAGAGGGAAGAAGGGAGGTAGGGAGGATTGGACACACCTAATCTAGGAAGAGCATATATTGCAAATAGAAATCTAACTTTAATGGCAAAAGAACTTCAGTAATGTCAACCTTTCTTTATTTAAGCAGAGAAATAGAACAACTTTGTGTAGGCAAAAATGCAGTGGAAGTGGGACTGACTTTCGATTTCCTACCATTTCACCATTGACTTTGCTTATGGGAAGCTGAATCTTGTGTATCTTTAATAATGCTTTTGGAGTAAAAATCTAACTAAAGATAGTTTTCTATTTAAGATACATTAATAGTTTAGTTCATTCAGCATGAAATGGAGCTTAGTTATATAGCATGAGGCTGTATATTCTGCAATATTAGGACTGTCGATGAGTCAACTTGCTGTGGGACAGAGATTACAGTTGCTGCTTAAAAATTATTATTTAAATTGAGTTGATTTTAAATCAAGACTTTTTACTAGTGATTTAAGTCACGATGTTTTAAATCGTGATTTAAATTGACTTTATATAAATCAAATCCATCCTGGTTGGAAATCATGACCACATGACTGCAGGATGCCACAATGTCCACAATTTTGCAAATAAAGCAGAATTGAACATTGTGTGGGGATTTCAAATCCAGAGAAGTCCTCGATTTTTAATGCATTCTTTTAAGTTAGTGGCTTTTAGGGACCTTGCTGCAAAAATTGTTGCAGTATAGTGCACCATTTTGACTTAACATGATGGTTATAAAGACAATGAGAGTTTTAATGATGGATGGGTGGACAGGAAGAAAGAAAGAAAGAAAGAAAGAAAGAAAGAAAGAAAGAAAGAAAGAAAGAAAGAAGAAAGAAAGAGAAAGAAAGAAAGAAAGAAACATAGATAGATGGATGGATGGATGGATGGATAGATAGAAATAGATGGATGGATGGATGGATGGATAGATAGATAGATAGATAGATAGATAGATAGATAGATAGATAGAAAGAAAGAAATGGATGGATGGATGGATAGACAGACAGACAGACAGACAGACAGACAGACAGACAGACAGACAGACAGACAGATAGATAGATAGATAGAAGCTTTTCCTGCTTTTTAACATTAAAATCAATTTTAAAACCAGCCAGTTTGACAATTCGGTTGGGGAAAATTAGTGTTAAGCCTGATGATGCTTTGGCAAAACGGGAATGGATTTCCCTTTGAACCATTGTATTGTGCTGATCTGCTTTGATGAAAGTGTTCCCTCAGCTAAGTTTTTGCCTTTCCTGACACTGCTTCCCCTTTGGCTGTTTTCGCTTTTTTGTAAAAGTTTGTTTATTAGCTTTACATTGTTTTGGTTAGCTGCACCAAGGACAATTTTGTAAACAAAGCAGCTCATTCTTTTAAAAGTTTACCCCTGGGTATAAAAGGCAGAAGGGCATTTGAGAGTCCCTTTATGGGAACAGTTGTTTTGCTTGAAAAATATCCTGGGGAAAGAATCTTTAGTACGTAATTGAAATTTTGCACGAGTGGTCAGTGTTTGTAGATGATTTTAAGCCTGGACATTTTGGTTAGTGGGCTGTGATTAAATAGCAAATACGTACAGGGAGTTCTTCACTTATGACCAAAACTGGGAGTGAAATTGAATGAGTCATAACTAGTTGTTAAGCAAATCTATGGCTGTTAAACAAACTCAGCAGTCGCAAGTGGAAACCTATTTTTCCATTGAGTGGTTTTTTTTACTGGAAATGGGCAAAAAAGATTCCAAATCTGGAACCTTTGGAATTATGCAGCAGGTGTCCAAATGAAGTCAGAGATACTGACACGTACTTGTCGTTTTAGATAAATAAGTATATTTTACATCAATATATGCAGTGAACAAGGTGGTCAGGTAAACAGGAGCATCATGAGGTAAATTGCAGCTTTCCCACAGAAGAAAAAAGGCGGGGGAAAAGAGAAACGCCCGCTCCGCACCCACAGCAACCAATCACAGTGCAGATTGCCTCAGGCAGGAGCCGGCCCTCTCCCATCAATCAACTATTACGGTTTGTTCTGACTCATTGTACAACTCCATTGCGCCAGCTACTAAATTTAAATATCAATATCACAATTACGTGATCGCAGGAAGGTGTAAACAGTCATAAATGTGAGCTAGTTGCCAAGTGCCCGAATTACGATCATGGGGAAAGTGTGATGGTCATAACGTTAGGATTGGTCATAAGTGCAAGGATGACTTTTCAGCATTATTATGTCTTCAGACAGTCGCTAAATAAATGGCTGTAAGTTGAGGACCAAGTGTAATTGCTGCTAGTGTTGTCTAACTATTCCATTTATAGCAAATCTGCCTTCCCTAATTTTGTATTTGTGGTTCTTTTTCAGGGAGTGGAGCAACAGCTGTGGTCCAAGCAGCCTCTTGTACCCCAAAGAAGGAAAAAGTGGCAATTAAGCGGATCAACCTTGAGAAATGCCAGACCAGCATGGACGAGCTCTTGGTACAAAAATTCCACCCATGTTCTTTCACACTTAATTTAGGGTCTGTAAACCACTATGATTTGGGGTTGATGGTAATAATTTTTCTTGAGGCAGGAATTGGTTGGAATTTTAGTGGGTCCCTTACAGGTTTTTTTTTAAATTTAATTTAATTTTTAGATGAGATAACGGTGTTACTCTTATTTGACTCTTTTAGGCTTTAGTGTTTGCAAGCTTCCAGCAGTAGCTTTATATACTTTTTGTTAGCTTTCTTGCATATTTTTGCTCAGAGTTAACTTGGTTGAATTGGATACGGCCAGATAAATAATAATAATAAATGTAATTCTTAAAATTAATTTAAATTTTAACTTTCTTAGAATTAATTTAATTATTTCTTTTTTCTTTAAAAAAATGCTGTGTGTATGTTTGTTCCAGCATAAATCTGAGAAACTTCAACCAAACTTGATACATAGATGACTTACCTTCTGGAAACAAATAGTGGGGTGGGGGGGAGGCGTGTGTGTGTGTGTCCCCCACCATAACTCTGGAATGCCTGGCCCGTTAAGGAGAAGAAGTGCAGCATCCTAGAGCGGCAATTGCTTGTGATGTCATGGGAGGAGGAAGGGGGAGCCTGGGCCGTTAAGGAGAGCGAGTGATGTTTGCGATGTCAGTTCCTTCGCAGCTTCCTCTGGAAAGCCAGCCGTGACATTCGTCCTCCAGTGGACCAATGGGGAAGCGCCTGATGGATTTGGGGCAAAGTGCCAGGATCGTAGACAGGGCGGGGAAGAATGGCGCATGGGAGACTGAAGGGAGAGGGCAAGGATGATGGGCATGGGAGTATGGGGAAGAAAGGCCCCTCTCAATGGCTCCCTGTCAGACAAACGCTTTGATGTCTATAAACACCTGGGCAACGCCGGATCATCAGCTAGTATTTTAAATAAAGGAACTAACGTTCAATAAATAAAGTAGTCTCCTGTTTATCCTGTATGGGAAACAAAAAAGGTGAAAAGCATGTTGCTTTGTGAAAAGCTTGCTAGAGAACAATTAAAAAGGAAAGGTGCACAGTAATGAGAAAAAGAAGTTTGATATCTCTACTTTATGATTCCAATTATCAGCTCTCCACTTCCTGTGGCATTTAGGGATTCAAGCCAACAGGCTTTGTGGTTTAGTTCAGATCTCAGTGTGAATAAAGTTATTCCTGTTTAAGCCACAAGGAGGATTGTGATTCAATTCAGTTCTATTTTGAGAACTGCATAAATGGGATTTGTGTTATCATTCAGGAATATCCATATCTGGCAATCCTGTTTTGCTCTAATACACCCAGGACAATGTTAGGATACCGGTGCTAGGCTATCTGGGTAACTGCCGCCAATTCAGTTCAAACAACTTAACCGGATTTCAAGATTTGCCAATTTAGGGCTGAAAGACTTATTCAGCAAGCTCACTTGTTAAAACCAAGATGGTTTAGAGCAGTGGTCACCAACTGGTGGTCCGTGGACCACTGGTAGTCCACGAGAAAATTTTGGTGGATTGCAGAAAAATTATTTGCATTTTATATATTGCACTAAATCAGAGACACTCAAACTACGGCCTCTGGGCTGGATATGCAATGAACGCTTGTGTTGCTGCAAAGAGTCTCCCCCTTTGGGGTATTTTTGTGTGGGTCGGAGGGGGGGGCAGAAATTCTGACTTGGGGTCTGCTTCATCCTCCTGGCATGGGGCTTTGGCGAAGGCTGGAGGGAAGCACCGCTAGTGGTGAAGAGCCAGAGGGCCTCGTTCCAGTGGGACTACATCATGGCCTGGAACTGGCTGACCATCTCAGCCCACTGAGCCTCCAGGTGCCAGCACCTGGCCTTGCACTCCTTTCCTTCTGCTTGGAAAGCCTATGTGCCTAGTCCTCAGTGAGGTCCTCCAATTTGAACTGAGCCAGCTGCCAACTCTTTCTCGTGGTGTCTGCGTAGCTCCAACAGCTGCTTTCGGTTGAGGCCCTAAGGAGCCTGGGTGGGCAGACGAGGAGTGGCTGGGACGTGAGAGGTGAGTAGAGGTTGGCGAGGCGCCCCTTGATGTGAGTGACATCGAGTTGGCCATGCCCACCCAGTCACATGACTACCTAGCCACACCCACCCAGCCAGTCATTAGGCAGACCATATTAGTGGACCGCAGGATTTGAAATTATGAATTTAGTGGTCTCTGAGGTCCGAAAGATTGATGACCCCTGGTTTAGACCAGTTTAGAGCTTAGAAATTTAGGATATATGGATTTCAACTCCCAGAATTCGGGAGGTTGACGAGCGCAGCACCCGTTTTTTAAGCTGCTAAGTTGAGAAATGCTGGTTTAATACAGCGATCTAGACAAATGTCTTTGTTGTGACAAACTAGACACCCACAATTAATTTTACTTTCTGGGATAAGATGTACTAAGCTTTGCTCATTCTTGATTTGGCTGGCACAGCATACTCTGCAAACCATTGATTACTGGCCATAATGACTGGGCTGCTACAACACAGCAAACCAGTGTTTATCACATTTGGCAATTTTAAGATGTGCTGACTTTAAGTCTGGCTGGGGAATTCTGCAAGTTGAAATCTGCACATCCTAAAGTTGCCAAGTTTGAGAAACACTGGGCTAGAATAAGTGTGGGATAGACAGGCTCAAGAAAAAAATCAAAATCCCTCAGTTTTACTGTCGGGTGTCAAAAATTCCAGAGGAATTGAAAAAAAAAATCCCCTTGAAGGAATTGTCCTCAAGAATATTTTTTTTCCAGGTCTCTGGAAAACCTTCAAACTTAATCTTTTGCCTGGCTCAAAACTTTCTTAAAAACCAGCGTGACCTCCCCTGACTCAAAACCTTGGTGCTTCTTGAGTCTTCACAACAGGGATGTGTTTATAATTAGCAAGCAGAAATCTCAAGGTGAATGCTGTCTTCAGACACACTCAGCAGTGTTTTACATTTTAAATTTGGAAGGCTGTGTTTTATGTGTGCCAGGTGAACGAATAGAAATATGCTTGTATACTGTATTTTTTGGAGTGTAAGACGCACCAAGATTTTGAAGAGGCAAATTAAAAAAAAAAAGTTTTTGCACTCTGCAGATCTCCCCAAGACGGCCCATTTTTCATGAAAATGGCCCTGTTTTTTTTTTTTGTTTTTTTTTAAAGGGCATACAAAGTATTTAGGAGGCTTATAGAGTGATCCTGGAGGCTGGGGCGGCAAAACTGAGCAAAAATCGCCCTGTTTTTTGCTCATTTTTGCCCTCCCCAGCCTCCAGGAGCATTCTGGAGGCCTCCCAAAGGCTAAGCATTGCCATTTTTTGCAAAGGGGGTGGGGTTTCGGGAGGCAAAAAATGCTGTATTCAGTGTATAAGACGTGCCCAGATGTTCACCCTCTTTTTTTGAGGGAAAAAGGTGTGTCTTATACTCCAAAAAATATGGTAATTGTAGGATGTTAATAAAATCAAGGCTGTTTTATCTCTGCAGACATGTCTCCCCAAATTCGGGGACTGGGTGACATCAAGTAATAGTTGGGTATGAAGTTAGAAAGCACAGGTAGTCCTCGATTTACAATACTTCATTTAGTGACCGTTCAAACTTACAAAGGGACTGAAAAAAGGGACTTATGACCATTTTTCATATTTATGACTGTTGCAGGATTCCCATGGTCACATGACCAAAATTCAGATGCTTGTCAACTAGTTAATATTTATGATAGTTGCAAAGTCGCGTGTTCTTGAGAACAGTTTTTGAGATCTTCTGACAAGCAAAAATCAATGGGGAAGCCACGTTCACTTAATCATCATGTTACTTTTGTTAACTGCGCTAATTCACTTAACAACTGTGATTCATAAAATGGGACAAAACTCGCTTAAATGTTTCACGTAGCAACATAAACTTTGGGCTTGATTGTGGTCGTAACTTGAGGACTACCTGTATAAGAAAAGGGGTACAGGAAGAGCATTTTAAAAATCATAACCCACACACCCTTGTGCAACAATTTCAGGCGCAGCTTTTTGCATGGCGCTGCTTCGGATCTGAAGGCCCTGTTACAAAAATGTTTGAAATTTTTAAATTGATATATACTCTTGACAAGCAGAGTGTACAAATTCTTGAATTTCTACTGAATAGTTTTGTTTGTTCTAAGTCTCCTTGTTTCGTCATTGGAAACGCCTCATGTACTTTTTTTCTGAAATGAGAAAAAAAAAATGAAATAGTGATTTTTTGACTCAAAGACCAGAAGCTTCTTCTTTCTTCCCCTTATTTTTCTGTTTCAACTTTTCTGTTGTTTTCGTTCTTTTAAAAATTTCTTTAGTAACAATTATGTATGTGTATGTGTCCCTGGATCTATAGGTCTGCTTGTTTGCAGCTTTGAATAAAAACATTCAGTTTTGCAGCTTAGATGATATTTCTTAGGCTGCATAAAATCAACTTCACGTTACCTAGAAGGTGTGGTAGATTACAGAGTTGAGGTATGGCTAAGTTCAGGTTCCAAAAATAGTGCCTAATTCAATTTTTTCGTGACCCGACAAAAGGGTGAACGACAAAACCACGCCCGACTAAACCGTGTCGCTGATGTCATCAACGCGGCGACAACAGCCAGCGCGGAGAAAGAAGGGCGCTTTAAATAGCGCGTCGAAAGAAAGCCGATTTAACTTAAGGTAAGGGTTAGGTTTAGGGTTAGGTTTAGGGTTAGGTTAAGGGTTAGGTTTAGGGTTAGGTTAAGGGTTAGGTTTAGGTTTAGGTTTAGGTTTAGGTTTAGGTTTAGGTTTAGGGTTAGGGTTAGGGTTAGGGTTAGGTTAAGGGTTAGGGTTAGGGTTAGGTTAAGGGTTAGGTTTAGGGTTAGGTTTAGAGTTAGGTTTAGGGTTAGGGGTTAAGTTTAGGTTTAGGGTTTACAGCGTGCTTCTTTCTCCGCACTGTTGTCGCCTGGTTGATGACATCAGCGACACGGTTTAGTCGGGCGCGGTTTTGTCGTTCGCCCTTTTGTCGGTGAACCCAATTTTTTAGCTTCTTGGCAAACTTGTAGAGGCATTTGCC